GCTGTGTTCTTCAGTAGTGTTGTTGTCAGGCTGTGTTCTTCAGTAGTGTTGTTGTCAGGCTGTGTCATTCTTCAGTAGTGTTGTTGTCAGGCTGTGTTCTTCAGTAGTGTTGTTGTCAGGCTGTGTTCTTCAGTAGTGTTGTTGTCAGGCTGTGTTCTTCAGTAGTGTTGTTGTCAGGCTGTGTCGCTCTACAGTTGTGTTGTTGTCAGGCTGTGGGACCACTCTCCAATCCTCCCCAACAAAGTGGCACATCACTAAGAGATGTCTCTGTGGTAACACTGCTGTGACAACAATGGTGTCGCCTCTTTAAGTGTGTTTGTCCATGTTGTTGTCGTCTTCATCCAGAGCTAAAAATAAAACCTAACATTCACTGAGCTACACAATAACATCCTGTCCTGATCACAACACACTGCTGACAATTAGTACCACACATTTAACACAGACAAGTACGACTGGAGTGATGGACTTAAATATTCATGGAATCATTTCAGCCCTAGATAGATGGATGAACACATGAAGACATGAAGACATGAAGACATGAACAGATGAACAGATGAAGACATGAACACATGAAGACATGAAGACATGAAGACATGAACAGATGAACAGATGAACAGATGAACAGATGAACACATGAACACATGAACACATGAAAGCCTCTCACTCTGATCTGGGACCAGCACCTGGCAGCTGAAACCGGTCCGGTCCAGCTGGCGGCTGATTTGGATCCAGGGTCTCTGGGGGAAGATGGAGCTCAGGTCTGTGATGAAGCGGTCCAGGTCCTGCTGTCCCTCTGAGGGTAAGGTCCAGGAGCCCAGGACGGTCAGGTCCACCCCGCTGACAGCCTGCAGCTGGACACATGCAGCTGTTCTAAAGACTTCCTGCTGCGGGTCAGAACCAGGAAGCTGAAGCTTGGTTCTGACCCACATGTGGTCACCTGCTGGACGTTTGAAACGGTCCTAAAAGGTTCTGCTGTGACACCGACCTGCTGAATGTACTGCTTCACCTGACCCGGGATGAACGGGTAGTGGATCACTGCCAGAACCACGGCCGAGTCCTGACCCGTCAGCCAGCGGCCCAGCAGGATCCCGCTGTCGGCCCGGTTGCAGCACTGTGGGAAGAAGATCTTCAGCACCATGACTGCAGTGGCTCTTTACAGGAAGACAGGCTGGAATGAAAGGAACGAGCTCAACATGACTCAGCAGATCTGTGCAAAGTTCTGCTGACTCAGCAGATCTGTGCAAAGGTTCTGCTGACTCAGCAGATCTGTGCAAAGTTCTGCTGACTCAGCAGATCTGTGCAAAGTTCTGCTGACTCAGCGGATCTGTGCAAAGTTCTGCTGACTCAGCGGATCTGTGCAAAGTTCTGCTGACTCAGCGGATCTGTGCAAAGTTCTGCTGACTCAGCG